TTGTATAATACTTCTTATTCGTTAAGAATATTATTAAATTTTTTGAATAAGGATAATTAAACTGATAAGGATAATTGACACAAATTTAAGCACACAAAGTTTAATTAGCATATGGAGTTTTTTTCCCATTGTTTACTCCTAGAAGGAGAATAGGGCTAGGCTAGTGCATGCTATCATAGACAGTCATGCCCCAGTCATAATGCGCCATAGATATTTTAACTAGGTAAGAAACTAGCCTGCCGTAGTTTTTTCTTTCATATTAGATTTTTTAGGTTATTGATTTTTATTGTTTATTTTTCTTAGTTTTGAACATCGAGCTTATTAATATTAATAAGCTATAATGATATGACCTGACCGGGGTTTGAACCTGAGACTATTCGGTTAAATGACCAGTGCCATAAGTACTGCAACAATGGTTGGTATATTAACATATAAAGTAAATGCAGGAAATTAGAACAATTCAGGAATCGTAAAATTCATATTTACTGGTTAAGTTTAAGACTCACTAATTTTTATAAAAGAAAAATATTTAATGTCCTTTTAATCTAATTTATGGTTTAGATTTATAAATAACAATTTAAAATTTATGTAATAAATAAAAAGGTAATCAGGCTCCCACCAGGAATTAATTGTAATTTATTTCTCAACAAAATTTACAATCTAACACTAATTGCAACCACACATGTATTTTGGTCCGATTTCAAAGAGCGAAGTGAAATCAAAAATGACTAGAGAAAGAACTTTCCGTGTATGTTCCAGTTACAGTAATATTAATATGTAAATTTTCGTCAAGGACTAAAAATTTTGAAATCAATAGATACCCTTGCTTAAAGAAATCCGAATAAAATGAAACAGGGTTTTTTGAAGGCTATTATAATATATTTTCCTGAACTGCGTTCATATAATTAATTATGAGACAATCAATAATCTTTATTCTCCACATGTACCAATCAAATTAATATTATCAAACCCAAAGAAAAATCTACTTAACGCGAGTTCATCGCATTTATTTTATATTTTATATACAATCATTGAAAAATGTTCTGCGCTCGTGTACAAGTTTTAATTGAATTTAATTAAATATGCGTAACCATAGAAAATATTTTTTCTTTCTGTTTTTGGTACTTAATTAAAATTACATATAATATAATAAGATTCTATAAAAAGAAGGGATGTAAATTTATTATTTATAATTTTTTCTGTATATACTTACCCTACTTAATCATTTAAAAATTGATATTTAATTTAATTATGGATTTATTTTATATACAGCATATTTTATAGAATTTTATTAATTTTATATACAGAATTTTATAGAAAAAAATAATTATTTTTTTTATATTTAATATTTTTTATAACAAAAAAATGACGAAGGAAAATTATTTTAAGCACAGCCGCCTCTCCATATCATTAAATTATGGCACACAATTTTTCCTATTGAGTATAAAGGTATCTTTGGCTTGAAACATTGAATAAAAGACAATGTGTGGCAATTTTATTCTTTACCCTTTGGTAACACTCTTAAGACTAACTTAATTATTATAATTAATGTCCAATTTATTTTATATTAAAATATATTGTGAGAAATGATGCTTTAATGTGGTGAATAAGGTATTGTACCGTTAGGTAAGAAGAGAATTCTCATATTTATTTCTCGGACATATTACGTTGATTCCTTGTATTATCGTACCGGATGTATCATTCTATTGCATAATATAGAACATCATATTGTTCGTATCCTTTCCTTGAGAATGTTCCTTTTACACATAAAATGTGCGGCACACGTTCTTAATCAATTAAACTTTTAGTATTTCTTTACCTATTCAATATATAAAGTTCAGGATTAATTTAATATTGGCTTTCTAAAAATAATATTGTAAATTTAATTATGAATTCTTAATATGGTTGCTTTCTGGAAATTTTTCAAAATTATAGTTCACTGAATTCATAAGTATTAAATTAAATTGAAGTGGGATGGCGGGATATCGCACTGTTTTATATTATAGTGAGCCCATTCCTTAGTTTCGAAAGTCATTCAGTTTCAATTAGTGACTAGATTGCTGCAGCAACTAGAAATTAATTGTTCTTGTTTTTGAACAAAATTCTCAATTTGACACTAATTATGCAACTACTCAATTGAAAAAATTTTGTTTCTTAAATCGTTTTCCTGTTTTCCTTCATCATAATATTCTAATTTTCTATAATAATCAATTATTTTTACATTTTTTCTCTCAAACCATTAAAGGATTTTCGAACAATTTTCGGGTTTTTCCTTTACAAAAAAAATATTTTATTACAAAAACCTCATAAATTATATTTGACTGCATTGCAAATTTCTAAATTATTTAAAAAATAATTTTTTGATAAATGCAGAAATAGTTTAAATAACTTTTAAAAACTATTTATGCATTTACACATACCCACACATAAATATTTTAAAAATATTGGCAAAATAAAATTGTTCGCAACGTACTTTTCTTTTTCTGCAGTCTGAAAATTCTATAATATTGTATGTGGAAATGTTATACATTTAAATATTCAAATTTTTCAATATTACGTGATTTTATAAAATAAACGTTGAGAAATAAAATTTTCCTTAATTTTAAAGTTTTCATTGTTTATTCTTTTCCGGAATAATAAATTTAACATAAACACCATAATAATGATCAAAAGTCTTTAATATTTAAATAGAAAAATTTTTTAACTTTTTTGTATAAATTCTAAACAAATATCTCTAATATACATACAAAATATTGTGAGGATATTTGCGTTGCTTAAAACAAAATACATAATGTATAACATGCAATTGCAGACAAGAACAAATATAATGTATACAACACATTCACATACATATATGTATACATTATGTATAAACAAGTTTAAAGTGAATTAAATTTTAAAATTTCTTATATTGTGTACACAAAAAACCAAAACATTCTATGTATTTATTCAGTAATTATACAGGGCGGTTCGGAAATGTGTGCAACAAGATGACGAATTTTTTAATTTCTACATTTTATTAAAGCCCTTAAATTCTTGACTTGGTTTTGGTTTTTTTTTGCTATATCTTTGGTAGCATAAAAGATTTTTTATCAGAGGAACTAAATTAAAGCCTCAGCAGCTGAGTAAGATTCTGTAAAAAAAAATTCAATATTTCAAAAAATTTCATACGCAATTATCGGGTTAAAGAAAATTAAAAAAGTAAAAAAAATAAAAACTTGATTTTTCCTAAAGTCGAAGTGCTTGGTATTCCGAAAGTATATAAAATACAAAATCAAGTAACAGGTTCGTTTTAAATCCTTTACCAGGCCTTTCAGAAACTGTTTGGTTGAAGCCCTATCTCTTTTGGAACGGAAGTAATAAGCAAAAAATTTGAGACAAGTAAAAATTTCGTGAAAATTTGCTAAAAACAAAAACTCTTGAGATTTATCACCTAGCCTGGAACAAAAGTTTTACCCATTTTCAGCCCTCTAACCAATGGTATATATTACGAGTATTATATACGTTTCTGAATCACCCTGTATACACACATGTATTTATAATAGAAAATTAATATTATGTATAACAATATTTTGTTGAAAATTCTATGTGTGTATGTATACATACATTATTATAATGTACTTTAATTGAATTTATGAATAAATTATACTTTATATTTAAAAATTTAAATGAACTTTATTAAAGAATTTTTGCAAAAAAAATAATTTTTTTTCTGAAAATTTCTTAGTTGAAAACAATATTAACTTTACAGACTATTTTAATTATGTATGAGAAAGTAAAGGAATTTCAAAATTAATGAAAATATTTTTTAACTATATGAAAGAAAAAAATTGAATTAATTACAATTTAATATTTTCTTTTTGTTTTGTTTCTGTATAAGTTTATTATTTAAAAATTACTTTATTAAAAATAAGTAAATTTGGTATTTTATTAAAATATTTTCGGAAAAGTTTCGTTCAAAAAAGCTTGTAAAAAAGCAAATTTCCTTCAACACACTGACGTTCTCTTGCAAATCAAATGTACTAAGGGCCGGGATCCCCGTAATTTGAAAATTGAGAAAATTACAAATAACTGAAATTCCCGTAATTAACATCAACGTGTTTGACAGTTTAATATGTTAAAAAGAAATAATTTTTAATTAAAATTTTAATTTGTTTTTGTTGTATTCCTTATTGCATACCTCTGGAAGAAAAGCACAAATTTAAGAGAAGTACACATATATAGCTAAACTTGCTCATAGAATAGCACAATTATCAGTAGTCTTACATACTTTGAACAATAAATCGAAAAAATATTGAAATTTTTTTTATTTTCATTTTCTAAATTTTTTTTAATGTGATGAGTATAACAAACAAATTACAGAATATATAACATGGGCATTCCAAATTAATTATTAGAATTAATCAGGTTTAATTTGCTTATCATAAAAAACCCTCTAAATATCTTTTCTAATTAAAATCAGAAATCTGGAAAATAAAACCTACTCGTATTTATAATATTAAAATTTTAGAAAAAATTATTGTGCAAAAAACCAGGATATTTCTGTTTGTGTAAGAAAGCATTTTTTTTCATACCCCAGAATATCAACTTCATATTTTTATATGAAAATTAATTGAAGTCAAATTTTAAAATTCTTATATTAAAATAATCAAATTTTTCATATATAATAAATTCAATTTAATTCTGTAATATTGTAAAATTTTTACAAGTCAGTGAGTATTTTTACATAATTAAAAAAATTATTTCAAAAATATTGTAAGATCATTGTAGAGAACATAATTTCTTTTTTGTGAATCAAAAAGGCATTAAGCTTTAGTACCAATTATACATTTACATAAGAAATCTATGTGGGTCAACAATAATAGATAAAGAGTCCAATAATTTTACTGAAATTTTTTTTCGCATTTTCATTACCTATTTAAAAATTTTATTTTATTTTTAATTCTGACTATTTTTTTTCAATCAATTTTATTAACTCTTTACTCTCTCATTTTTTACAGATTCAACAGCATAATATCAAATTAAAAGAGATAATATGCAACAGAATTTTCATCTTGTATAATTAAAACAATAACCGAATGGAATGCATTGAAACGTATAACAATTTCAAGTGTTATATATATTTATTAAAAAGTATGTATAAATAATTGGAATTATGAAAATATTAAAATAAAAATTGAAAAAATTAATTTTATAATTGCAATAACTTTTGATAATATAAAGAATTTTTCATTTTTTCATAATAAAAATAATATTAAACAAAAAGTGAAGTGAATAAATTATAATGAACTGCAAATATATAAGAGTTTAAAATAAAGAAATGAAAATCATATTTAAAATAGTAAATATTGTAAAAGGAAAAATTTAATATTAAAATTTAATTGAAAAAGCAATAAAATGTAGAACAAAAATTTAATACATATAACAAATATATAATATTTAGCTATAAATCGATAATAATAAACTGTATAACAAAATTGTTATAATATAGGAATTATTGCAAAATATATAATATGTGTATATTTGTGTATTATGATTATTGTGTGTATATTGTAGTGGCGTGTTATGCAAAAATAATTTTAATTCATTAACATAATTAATATTATATAAATATTATATAATTATTATAAAATTATATTGTGTAGATTTTTTAAATAATTATATTTTTTTATAATAAAATTTTAAATTTTAATAATAATAGAATACCATATTAAAATATAAATTAAATTAAATATTAATCTATTTAGTTAATGTTATACAATTATATTAATAATTGTTCAATAAAATTCATGAATTAAGAAAATTTAATCTCAAAAAAAATTTTTAATAGAATAAAAATTTAATATAAAAGAAGACGAAATTCATTGTTAATCTTAAATAATTTTAAATATCTCACCGGTAATATAAAAATTGCAAATATAATATTTTTAATTTAATAATTGATTATTGAATGTAAAAAATAAAGGAAACAATAACAACATTTAATACTCAAAATTATGACAACTTAATATTGTAAATGTGTTGTAAATATAATAATATATTATTATATATCATATTATATATTATTATATTAACATATTTGGCATTTCTGTACACTACAAATTGTAGTCTATAATACTGAATTTCATACATAATTTATTATACCATAGTATATCAGAATTTAAAAACAAACAAAAGATTTGCGTGATTAACATTTTTACATTATATTTTTTTGCATATATATAATTATATATATAATGTTTATATGAACATTAATTAATATAATTAAGAAATAGAGAATAAATAAATTATTATACTATGAGGCCATATTAATATACAACATGTTTTGTAATTTATAATTTATAAAAATATTAATGAAAGTAAAGTAAACCTTTTTATATTTCCCTCTTAGATTCTCATTCCTGTTAAGATAACCTAATTACATGATAGAACTATACACATTTACATGTAGATTCCCTTTTACGGGCATTTGTCCCCTTTTTTAGTTCTTTTGCCGAGTAAAGCTCTACATAAATAGTTTTATATTCTAATTTTAAATTGTCCATAATTTTGAATTTTATCTAAGATTCAAGAGATTGTAACAAAAATTTAAATATCGTAAAATATTTTTCATATAATAAAATCAACAAAATTTTAGAAGTTTTTTTTTTATGCAAAAATTTGACTTTAGTTCTTAAATCACTCTGTTCAAAACTTAGAATCTTTTTGAATTTTGAAAGAAAATTTAATGGAAATTCGTTCACAATTTCATCTTACACAATTTAATCTTTAGAGTGAGGTAAAATTTTTAACAAATTCGTCAAGTTGGTATTAATTATTACAACTCTCTCCCAACTTCTCCTCAATTGTTTTACGCACGATAAAAAAATTAACATTTAAAAAGAGAATATAAAACTGTAATATAAGGCAATAATTTCAATAATTTTTCAGAAAATCTAAAGTTTATTACCACCATTAAAGGTTATTTGTGATATATTCAGAAAATATTAGAAAAATCCTCTAATTTAATTTCAAATTGTACTTCTCAATATTAATTGGTCAAATTTAAGCTTCCAATTCGTTAAAAATTTGTTCTCTTTTTTAAATAAAGGATCATTGTAGAAAATTCTTCATATTTCCATTAAATGCCCGGAACTCAAATAAGCATAAGGGTATGCAATACATAATTTTAATAAATTTATCTAACTATTAACCTTTCGGTTCCATTCAAAATTTTCTTTTCTGTTTTTTAATTATACAATAATCATAATATTTTTTTCATAATCAAATAATTAAAATACACAATAATTGTGTTAATTTCATTTATTTTTCTTCTTTTATATTTATAATGCATTAACAAATGAATTTTATAATATTTTATTAAGTTCCAAAAAAAACCGAAAATGCCTTTAAGGCTAAGCAAATCGAACAAAATAGAAAAAAATATTCACACATATTTTAATGTTCTTTTCTCTTATTTATAAAAATTATTTTGTTTTACTGATTATTTTAATTATAAAATATACATGTATGTACATTAACAAAAAATATAATGTAAAACAAAAAGAAAATATAACAAAATATAACAGAAATTTAATATATAATTAAATTATTATAAAATTTATTCAAAAATTGCCATAAATATAAAGAGTAAAATAATAACCAATTCAAATTAAATCATTAAAAAATATTTAAATAAAAAGATAATAATTTGATAATACAAAAAATAAACTAGAATAGAGAAAAACAAGTGATAAATTAAATTTATTTAATAAATTATTAATAATTTGAATAAAATTAAAAAAACTAAATGCAAAATAAATTGAATACAGAAAAAAAATTATTTATGCATCATTTATTAAAAAAAAATTTAATTAATTTGAGTATTTGTTATAAAATCGGGTTAGAACAATGATTTGTAATGTAGCACTTCTCCTTTCAACAATAGAAAATACTGTTTTTAAAAACAATCTATCTATAGTACTTAATTATTAAAATTACTTGCATTCTTTTACGAATATATTTAAAAAATTGCATATGTTTAGGATGAGTAATGTACGCAAACTTAAAGAGGCATTAACATAAAGCCCGAATTCAAGACTTAATTGCGTTAGTTCGGAAATATATGGTGCCGAAAATTCAAATTTTCAAGAGTTTAGAAAATTGTAAACGAGTCCACAGACGGACGAACAGTCAGAGGAAAACTAATAAGCACAGGAAAAATGTTAAAAATAAAAATTTTTATAACATTCGTTATAATTGGTATTAAATGGTGTTGCCATTGAAATTGCAAATATGTTTGACATGAAATTTGTCATTCACAACAACTCCTTTTTGGTTGGTTTTATTACTAACAAAATTATCAAAAATATAAAAATTTCAGAATTAATAGAGATTTCAAATTGTTAATTAGAAATTTTAATTTTTTTACATTGTAGTGGCTATTTTAGTAGCTATTTTGGTCGAAAATTAATTCATATTTCGTGATCAATTAGTTTTTTTTCATGAATCAATAATCTCAAATAATTATGTACATTATTTTTAACTGAGATCTTACATAATTAAGTAAGATTAAATATCAAATTTGTTAATAATATTTTAATGATTCCCTTAAAAAAATTATTTATAATTTTACTCAAATTTCCTTATTGCCAAACCCAACTAAACAGTCATATAAAATTATTACATCCTTAACTCTTAAATATTTCTAATTTTATAAAATTAAAAATAATGTTTAGTTTATTGAACATGTGCTAAAGACAGTAAGCAGAAAAGATGGTTTTGTTACCGTTTATTAAATTGATAAATTTTAATTAATAATTTTCATGGCTGACATTTTTAAATTACCATAGATTCAAGAGGACCCAGAATTTGTGTATGATTGGTTGCAGTTGCTTTGCGTTTCTTCAATTAATATTTAAATTACCCCTATTGTATATACTTTAAAAACCTGTATAGTTTAGGATAATACTTTTTTTTAATTTTTGAAATATTTTGCTTCGAAAACATTTTTTTTTTAAAGCTAATTAAAAAAACCTTTACTATAAATATAGAATCGGAAAATAATAAATAAAAATCATAATTTAAAAAAAAATAATTTTTAATTAAATTTCAGGAATAATCAATTAAATGATGCAAATATTAAAAAAAAAAAAACAAATTACAATATTCAAATTAATTTTATTCTAAAATAGGGGGCGAATGTTCAATTTTTCAATACAATTAAAATAAATTTATAAAGAAAATAAAAAAAAAAAGTAAAATAATAAAATTTAATTAAGTGCAAAATAAATAAAAAAAAATAAATAAATATATTATTCAAATTTAAATATAATTATTAAAAAATCAATAACCTTTTAATAATAATGAAAATACAATTAAAATATGGATGATAGTGATTCGGGGATTGGTAGCAATTGTAGTTTTTCAACATACAATTATTCATCAACAAATGTAACACCATCACCGACATCAACATCGAATTTTTTAAATTTTCGTCATAATCAATCTCCGTCACCTTTATCTTTATCATCATCATCATCAACATTATCATTATCATCAACAACAGGAGCTGGTGCAGTTGGTTCAGTTTCAAATTTACAACAAAGGACGACATCATTAACGCCGATGTCATCATCAAATGATGATCGTTTTATTGCTGCTGGATCACGAAATTTAAATATTGGTCCTTCAATAACAACAAATTCAAATTTATTATTAAATAATCATAATAACAATAATAATAATAATAATATTAATTTAAATAAAAATACAAATTTATATAATAATAATAATGATTTAAGAATAACATCAAATTCATTAATCGGTCGCGATAATAATATTATAAATCGTTCAAAACAATCTATAACATCATCATCATCATCATCAGCAATATCTGGTGTTGGTGGTGGTATTGGTATTAGTGGTGGTAGTGTAATAAATTCAATTCAATCAAAATCAGTTATTAATAATAATTCAAATATATCGGGACTAACACGTGATGAAGTAAAAATTTGGCGTGATCCACAAGCAAATGAATCTCTTATACGACATATACATTCAAATCAACATCATCCATTATATTTACCACCTGTTAATATTGGTGGAATAGGTACACCAGCAGCAGCAGCAGCAGCAGTAGGAATTCCAACTGCTGTTCCACCAATAGCTTCTGTAGCAATGCCATTACATACAGATAGTGGATTACCACCACCACCACCTGCACATCATACAACAAACACTACCGGTTCATATGGTAATAGTAGTGGTGGTGTAAATAATACTAATACATCAGGATATATTCCTCCACCAATATTTAATGATCATTGGTCATCAACAAAACAATATCCACATCAACATCAACATCCTGCTGCTCCACCTGGAGTTTTACATCATTCAAGAGATTATTTGGATGAAAAACATTATTCTAGGTAAGAAATTTTACAAATTGTTTTTTTTTTTTAAATATCATCTAAATTATTTCATTTTATTTAAATAATTTTCAAATTTATTTAATAATTTTTTAAAAAATGATTCTAATGCCAATAATTTTGAATGGAAAATTTACCATTGATAATGAAATAATTATATTCAAAATAATTTCCTTTTCCTAATTATTTTCGAATACGCCCTTATTTTAATTTTCTTATTGCCTTCCATAATAATAATTTATGCCATAGACTTGAAAATTATCTTAAAAATTTATGACACCGCATTGAATTTTATGTGAAATTGTTAAATACCCAGATATATTATAAGTTAGAGAGCGCCAGACATAGAGAAATAAACCACATTATATAACATTAGCATAATGTCATAAAATATTTTTTTTTTGGCTCTTTGCAAAATTCTGAACATGTCTTGACTTATATGCTAAAATTTTTCTATGTCATTTGAGGTAATTTGCATTCTAAAATTACATTTTTTTTTTATATATTTTTATTACACATAATTCAGTTCATGTCATAAAATGAGCTCATAAAAAATATATATGCATGTGTGTGTATATATATATTTCATACAAAATATGTATTCAAATTTTGGAATAAAAGAATTTAAGAATAAAATAATTTGAAATGAGGGAAACGAAAATAAAAATTTGTTAGGGCAAAAAAAAAAAATTTTAAGAATTTCTTATGAATTTTCTAAATCTGTTCATTTTCCAAGAAGGCGAGCAAATTGTAATAACAATTTCTTATTTTTTAAACTTAACTTTAAACTTTAAAAAATTTATTAAAGTAAATTTTCTCCGTGACAATTGATATTTTATAATCAGTGTTGCCACTTCAATCCAAATAGAGTAAAAGTGATCAATATTTTTTTGTTTAAATTTATTTTAGCCCCACGACTCAACTTAATTAAAATTTTCAAATATTTTTATTTTTAAAAAACATAGTTGTAGAAGAAGATTAATGTATTGTAAGTTACGTACTTGGTTACCCTGTAAAAGATCTACTAAACAATATTTTTTAGTCTAATAATTGCAATTGTAGTAAAATGTCGTGGAAATAAAAATTAAGAGCAAAATAATTTTTTTTTTAATAAATTTCAAACTTAATTTTCTGTAGAAAAGATCATATTACTTACAATGAGAAAATTAGTATGCAAAATTTACTTCACAATTGAGTATCATGAACAAGTCAAAGAAGCTCTATAATAGTAATAATATTACACTTATCCTGTGATTTAACATGACAATACCAATAATTTTAAAATTTACTTCAGTTTTATCTTAAATTTACTTCTTAATTTACTAGACCATTGTACTTTTCTCAAAAATTTTTGTAAAGAATTTCAAAATTACTTAGTGAACATTGATTTTTTTGAGCTCCTTAAACTTAATTTATTTCTAAAATTTAATAAAAAAATTTTCATAAATTTATTTTTATAAGTTTCCTAGTATACTCACACACAATTTCTTAATCTCATAATTCTCAAACTCGCTTACTTTTAATTACCATCTTCTCGAAGAAATTTTCATTCTATAGTGGAATTCCATTTCTACTACAAACACAGAAAATTCAAATTTTTTATACATGATTTGTTCTATAATTGAAAATCAACCGCATTAAACTAATATCTCCGAATCTAAAATCTAAAAATAAATTTCAATTTCTTATAAGTACATAAAAAATATTCAACATTATAAAAAGCAATAAAACATTTAATTTAAAGAATAAAACAACAATTTTTTTTTATTAATTGTTTAATATCTTTTTGTCTTTAATGTGTTCATTAACTAGATTTTTTTACGAGTTTTCTTTTTTTTATATACAAAACAGAAATAAAGGAAAATTAATGGATTTATAAAGTCGTCTAGTATTATGAAATTTTCATTATTTCCACTTTAAATTAAATAAAAAAAAATTAATATATTTGTTGTACGAGTATATACCAAAATAAACCGAAGATATTAAAGAACAAGTCATAAACTTTTATGAAATTAAAAAATTTTCTTTGTTATAACCCCTCGGCCTCCTTCCCCCCAGCCAATTCTTCCATTCAACCAAATAACCCCAATGAAAATCTATACTATGTGGATAAATTACGCCATTAGTGTTATATGAATGAAAGTTTTTGAGTGAAATTAAAATAAATTCATTTTTAGTTATTTTAAATTGTTTCTTTTAAATAAACTTTATAAGAGTAATACTAAAAAAGAAAAAAACGAAATAAAAATTATAAACTTTTTTGTAAAAAACAAAAAAACTACAAAATTTTTATCCAAGGTAATGACATTTTTTTTTTTCATTTTAATTTTTTGTCTTCTCTGTTTTTTCATCTTTGTTTTATACTTGTAAATCTTCATTAAAATAAAAAACAAAAAAAAAATGAAAACTTTTTCCGTATTTATCTTGCCAAAATCTAAATGATCAAGACCAACAACAACGTCAGCAATAACAATAAACCATTAACAAATTATAAGAAAGATAAATCCAATCCAATAATACTAAAGTGCTATATAAACTATATATACTGACACGAATATTATATGAAAGAAAAATTGGATTAAGGTAGCTTACCTTACTTAAGGATATACTCAATGATATTTAGATTTTGACATTTAAGACCTTCGACTGCAACCACTCATGACCCATTTTATCCTTTCCATATCCCACATATGTTATCGCAGTGTCAAGCAAATAGGCGGAAATATTCCTCAAGAAATTGTACGCGAGCTCCTCAGTGATGTTCAAAACATCTGTATCCCGTCGGCTAACAGCCGGGGCAAAGCAGTTACACAAAATATACATAGCCGTCTCCTCTTCGTCCTGGAACAACCTATAAAAGATGGAGTCAAATTCACCCAGTTTATGTGGATGGTACTCAATCGCAATTACGCAATGCAAAAACAACTCTGAGGTAAACTTCTTCGAGTCAGAACATGAAATCTGAACTTAATAGCAAATATGAGTATTACAGAAGGGAATAAGTTGCGCGAATAGTGTTTCGAACGGTTTTCGCATTAATAGCATCCCACAGTAGTAGAAAGTGAAATCTGAACTTAAATCTGAAGGGAATAATTTGTGGGAATAGTGTTTCGAACGGTTTTCCCATCAATGCGTTGGTAACTTCATTACCTCTATGCAGACTTTGTCCCAAAATTAAAATAAGCGCCACTACATATATTAATGTCAATTCAACCAGTAGTGCGATTGCACAGTACCACACCAGTTTGAATGTAAAATGCCGTCGCATAGATAATACTGTGAAGCAGTAAAAAATTTTAAAACTAAAATTTTAAAACCAGTTTTAATGGTGGGTAGATACAAATGAATTGTGAAAAGGTCAATACACCATGAAAAAAAATTATAAATTAAAAATTCTGTACTTTCCTCTTAAAATTCTGTATAGTTCTAAAAACTCTAATATCATAAACGAAGTGACTAACTCATAATTTCATTTCAAATATAATAATTTTTTTTTTTTACGGGAGTGAAATATAAAAATTTTATCTGGAAATAGAGGTTTAATCTTATCCTCCTCAGTTTACGCTTTTTCTTCTTTAAATAATAATTATTTATGGTTATATATTATAAAATATGTACATTATGACTGTATATTCACATACTAACATATATATATATAAATAGTTCAGAAGATACAAGATAAATAAAAACGGAAATGCCAGATCCAAACAATAAAACGAAAAGTGCCAAAAATAAAAACGATATTAAAATAACGTAAAAGAAAAATAATAATAAGAAAACAAAAAAAAAAAACCATTAACTCGAAATTATTCTTTGGGGGGGTCGAACTATAATAAATGCTGCCTATATTATACAATATATGCTGACAAGTGTATATATATATATATATATATATATATATATATATGTGTAAAGAAATAGACTATAGAAATGTATAATAGAATTATATTCCGGAGTCAGTAATTTGTCTGTCCAATAATCAAGATTTTAAAATTTAATGTAGAAGAAGAAAAGAAAGAGAAAGACTCATATAATTAAGATAATTTGAGTGTTTTTTTCTTTTCTGTTTTTTCAATTTTAATTTTTTAAAAGGGATTCAAAATGATTTGTTATACTTGTTTTGAACTTTTTCAAAAGTTTATAAATTTCATACCAGTATACGAGATTTGATTTAATTCTTTTTTTTTTGATTTGATATTTTAAATATTCTAAAATTTTATTGTTTTTCGTTTTTCATTAAAAGAATTTCAAATCTCAAAAATATTATAGATTATCTCAAATTTGAACTAAATTTATGCATTATAAATCATGTTGTCAGAGCCCTTTGCTATGTGAGATGAGAAAGAATGAGAATTTCTGTTTATGATACAAAAGAACAAGTAATCGTCTTTTGATTTGAAATTGATCAATATCAGAGATTTAAATTTACATTTTACTCCAAGATTTAACTTCTAATTTTGTTCGAGTACTAGCTTCAAATGCTAATTTACATCAATGATTTAAAAAATATTTTCTCTTTAATTTTTTGATTAAAGTGCAGGAGAAATTGTAAGGCACTGTGTATTGAGTGTTGTCAGGCGATTATAATAAATAAAATTGAACATAAATTTGTGTTAAATTTTTTAGAACTATAGAATACCCAGTTGTTACTCATAATTAGCTAAGTAGCATAATTGACTATGAACTAAACAACCAATAATTGATTAATCATAACAACCTAAATTAATGCCGTTTAATATAGTTTCCACTTTCAACATAAGCCACTTTCATTATCGAGCTTAGATCTGCTCCTTATTTCAATACCAAGATAGTTTCCAATTCAAATAAAATCATAATTTCGAAGATTTTGTTATATTATCAATGTAGATGTAATATTCTGTTATATGTGTCGTAAAACTCAAAAATTTGTGAAGAAGTTTTAATTTTTTGCATCAAAAAACCAAACACAAAAAAATTTCCAAATTCAAATTGCAAATTTTTTCCTTATAAAATTTTTGGTA